TCCAGTGGGTCGGTTTGGCTAATTATTTGCACAAGTATACAAAGGATTATGCTGGTTCTATCCAGCCTTTGTCGTCACTATTGAAGAGAGACACCACGTGGTTGTGGCGTCCCGAGCACCAAGCAGACTTCGAAGCAGTAAAGAAGAGCCTGGCGTCAGCGCCAGTGCTGGTCCTACCAGGCGACTCCAAGACGTTACACGTGGTATGCGATGCCAGTGATTTCGCAATCGGTTGTGCCCTCATGCAATTTGATGATGAGGACCGTGAACGAGTCATGAGCTATCAGTTGCGACAGATAAAGCCAGCTGGGAAGAACTATCTGGTTCACGACAAGGAATTGTTAGTGATGCGCTACGCGCTCATCAAGTTTCGCGTTCATCTGCTTAGTGAGCGTACATTTGCTTTTATACCGATCATGCATCACTGCGCACAGCGATGAAGAGCCCACACCTGTCCCAACGGATGGCACGGTGGATCCCATTCTTCTCCAAGTACAACTTCATCGTACATTACAAGCCAGGCAAGACCAATATTCTCTCCGACGATCTTTCACGACGTCCCGAATACGATCCTCGGACTGCATTGAGTCGTCAGGCGAATGATGACGAGGATGATGACAATCGATGTGCGATGTGTGTATCGCTGAATCTAACTCGGGTCGCACACGAGCTGTGTTTATTTGACGAGATCTTCGCAGCGTACAAGAACATATCAGATTAGGCGGTCATTATCGATTACCTGCGTATTCTTAGCAATGTCACACTGGGATCTTTATCACGAACCAAGCGCGATCGTATTCATCGATACAGTTTAGACGGAAAAATTCTTCTGTACAGCATCAATTAATCTGACGCTCCTCGCACGGTGATCGCCAACGACATAAATTTCGCGTGCTAGGATCATCCACGAGTATCACGCCCCTGCTGGTGGTCATTTAGGCCGCGAAAAGACTTTCGCGGCTGTGTCTCGAGACTTCTTCTGGCACCACGCGCATAAGTGGGTACGCAACTGGATTCGAACGTGCAAATTTTGCCAGCGTGTGAAGCATTCTTCATCGTCGCAGGCTCTCCTCCGACCGTTGCCGACTGCAGCTGAGGCGTGGTGCTCAGTTTCGATCGACCACATCTTCGGGCTCGTGCCCGGTAGTCAAGGTCGTACAGAATTCTTGTTTTTTGTTGAAAGATTTAACAAGATGACACATTTAGCGTCTGTTCACGATAAGATCACCGCGGTATAGACCGCGATGCACTATATTGACGCTGTGTTCCGACATCATTTCCTACCAGAAGACATTGTTATGGTCTGATCCGCGATACACATCCGCATGTTGGACATCACTGTTCGAGCTTCTCGGGACAAAACTGCAGATGTCGACAGCGGTCCATCCGGAAACAGATACGCAAACCGAGCGCGTGATCCGGGTACTCTAAGACGTTCTACGAAGTTTTGCTACGTCATTCACAAGATAGAGTGCATTTTACCCCTCTCTGAGTTCGCACTCAACAACGCCGTACACGCGTCAACAAGGTTGACGCAAATTTTTGTAAATTCGTCTCGTCGCCCTCGTGTTCCTACTTTCTTTGCCTTGGGGCGACCCACGACACCTAGTGGCTCCACTCTGGGAGGTATAAAGGTGATAAACAAGGAGCAAGTGCAGCTCACGGTATATTGAGAGCGAATGTAGTAACCCGATCCAAGGCGAATACTGTTGCTTTGACGCCACAAGACGTGTCGTCTCAATTAGCTCGATAGACTGCCCAGACATTGATTTACCCGTCTTCGGGTAAGCGTTCGCCTAATGCCAACTACGCACCGATTGAGTCGGCGCGACCAATTGATGGCATGGCTGTGTCAGAGTTTATACTTTAACGTCAAGCCATAAACCGTTTTGTTACGTGACGCACTACAATCTGCAGTAGACCAGCAATAAGAGAACGCTGAAAAGCATGGCAGAAAGAACTTGAGCAAAAAAAGAAAGGCGATCGTGTATTATTATCTACAGAAGGTCCAAGAGATTTAGCGGGTACTATTTTAGGCGCGAGTGAGCTTGCGCTACACTTCATCGGTCCATTTAAGGTTCTGAAAGCAATCGGCAATTCTTACACACTCGATGTTCCCTCATCATTGCGACTCCACCCGACGTTCTACGTTAGGCGGCAAAAGGAATATCGTCCAGCTACGCTTCACGGCTTGGCTCCGATGTCGGCTCCAGGGGTCCGTAAGTCGATCGGCCTTCCCATTGTGCTCGACAAGCCGATGACATCGGGCGTGGTTGTGTTGCCGTCTGTGCACGACCAAGGCCCTGGCGCTCCAGAACCCTCACCCGTTCAATCAGTTCACGGTTCGACTGCCGGATATCATTCGCGGCTTTTTCCGCCTGGGGAGAACACTCAAGGGTAGCGTCAGCTTTCATCTGAGCATCGGCAGCCTTGTCTACGGCCTGATCAACTTTGTTCTGGGCAACCAGGACGCCAGCATTACCATCGAGAAGGTCCACCTCCGCTTGTTGATGCGGAGGAACAGGTGCGCTGGATTGTGGACCTCACGAGGAACCTCCCCGAACAGTGCTGAAGTCGGCTCATGATAAGCGCGCGATTCCATCCGCGCGTAGGTACCGTGTACGTTAAGTTAAGGTTTCCTCCCGAGCAGGATACGTGGGACCCGCGTTCCTATCATCTTCGTGACGTTCCAGATGTTGTTCAGTCGTACAAAACCACGGAGTCGGGCTATTTCGATGCGAGCGCGAACGCGAACGCTCTCGTGACAAAAGAGAACGGTAAGGAGATCCACGTCGTCGAGAACGAGAGCGATGACGCGAATAAGACGATGCCTTAAACGAGCACGTCGTGGTAAATATATATCATCATTGCGAGGCGAGAATCGCGCAACAGTACGGGCAGGTGAACGTGTCGCTGCCCTGCGCTGATTATTCCGCGGAGATTGACTCCGCTGTCGCAAGTGGTGCTGCCAGCGAGGAGCACCACGAATAAATGCGCTTCTCCGTTCGCTCAGACTTCGCTCATACTTTACAAATCAAATTCGTTCGCGTTTGCTGAGTGGACACTCAGCGATGTGTCGTCGCCATTCGTCATAAGTTGGGCGGGGAGACGAGTCATAAAACTGGCATCCTTCATTGACATTAACGAAGCAGAGGCGGTCCTAATTCCAAGCATTATCACACTAGCGCGCCGATGAAGTGATCGGCGCGAAATTCCTCTCGATTGGCGAGCCACAGTTGGAAGCTGCTACCATCCTCGAGCATCCGATTCCAACGTCGGATGAAGGCGCATCAGGAAAGTTGTAGGGCCTCGTATTTGATTCCATCAAGACTCTTTCCGCGCAGTTTACGAAAACGCTGGAAGAAGTCCTGCAGTGTTTCAGTGAGTCCAGAGCGCGAGCTCCGGACAAGTCGCATCACTGTCACGTTTCCACCTGCGACATCCATTGGGCTTATAACCTGTTTTAAATATGTGTCGTTCTTTAGACAAGACACTTACTAAGAGAAATCAATGTAAAGACAGAATAAGATTTAGATAGCAACAGCGCTAAAAACCTAAAAAACCTAGAGAGTTTCGATGAATAAAATTAGCTTGGCTGCTGTCGTTCAAAAATTTTAGCTATAAAAATCATAAGAATGATAATGATTTTGTTCCCTCACAAATTAAATATAAAAAACAATTTTAAGTGCAAACCCTGTACTTGTGAAATTACAAAAGTTATCATGTCCTTAAAAATTGTCTGGTAAGAGTCGGCCGAGCGTTTTCTATTGTGAGCGATACCTAATATGTGCTACAGTTCGCCTATGTATCAGCTCTTGGCTGAGCGAGCGAGCTTTTTGTTACAAATAGGTAGAGAAGTATATCACTTGACAATTCTCATCGTCTAGCTACCAGTGTTCAATCGAGATTTAACCATCGTGCTTCCTCGCCAGGATGCAATGGAGAATTGTATATATCGGCGATCAAATTGCGGTGTGAGCAACATGCTTGCTCTTCAGCTGGAATAAAAAAACATTTAATACTATCTCCACTGGAGGAAGTGAACGCTTTGGACTGTGTGTTGCAAGCGTAATATCGAATGTTCAACCTGTCAAAACTACTTAATCATCTTCAGCGCCAGGGGCTGCATTCCAGGCCTTTGTTCATAGGTTGCATCTCCAATAACTCACAGCAGATGTAACATTAAAGGAACATAAAATCGGACTAAGCAAACTGTATGTCGTAGGTTCAAACTGATGTCGTTGGCTTAAACTGTATGTCGAAGGAGTACAATGTATGTGTAAATTTTTACACATCGTATGCTCTTCTTACGATCGCTACCTCGTAATGGGAAGATGTCGCATGGAGATGTAAGGCTAACGATTAGACGTTCAGCCCAATATATCAATGGATAGAACAGCACTAAAGAGGAGATTATACACTTTGCATGCAAGCAAAATACTGCGAATGCTGATGAAGTGGGATACTCCCCACAATGACAAACTATTGCTAGTTCTATGTTAGCTACAGACACTATAGGACCGTGGGGCACTACTTTTCTAACGACGTGTCTATGCTGTCAATCACTTAATCAGTTTGGTAAACCGCATCCTGATCAATTCCCAGCTGGTTTCGGTGCAAAAATAGAGCTACTTCTATTCTTTGATATAAGCTCAGTTAAGTTTATGTCTAATGCGACTGGTTTGGGACACCTGCTACAGTATTGCACCAAGTACGAATCGCTGCTTTGTGTGTAAGATTCGGACCCAGCCGTTCTTTACACCATCCTGTCATGATACTAATAAACGCTTTAGCTACGATACTACGTCTACATGTCTTGTCGTCAGCCGTCACTGCATTGCGATCGCTGCTGAAGCCCAGTTTTCATTTTTCAAGTGAAAAGTAACGTGGTGATGACAGCTTCAACACGAGCGGTCGTCGCGTCCGTCATGACTTTACTGTTACTCTTGCAGCTAACAATCTCTAGAGACACTGCGTCAGTTCAAACATCTTTGACTACTATGCCATCCGTGGTACTTCATGTCACGTCGAAACGAAAGACGATGAAACTACACGGGACAAGTGAGTTCAACATTTACGCTACACCTGTTGTATCCGCTAATGGCACAAGTGTTCTCTATAACAGCTACGCAACATTTGTTGAAAAAGGCTCGGAATTTACCTATACCCTTGTTGACGGCGTCGCTTACCTAACGACCAAGGACGCTAGTAATGTCATGACAGTTCGTTGTGTATCGCCAAGTGCACTGCCATTTCACAAGATCCTGCCGGCTCTTAATGATGTTACTCCGATTGCAAGCGCCTCAATTGGCAACGATTTAGTGGAGTGTGCAAGTGGAAGCCTGTTCAACATGTCGTTTCTCGGTGTTCAATATGCCATTTGTGGGTTGGGTGAAGCTGGTTTCACTGCATCCAGTAGTAACTTGCACATTTCTGTGAAATATCTCGATCGACCAGTCAGCATACCAAAACCTCAGCTAACCGATCGATTTGATGCATGTGAGCCTATCGAAATGGCCACATTCATGACGCCTACAGCTTTCGCCTTGATCACTGGAGGCGAAATTCCGTCAAGTGTTTCCCGAAGGTTGAAGGATTTACGGGATTTACTCAATGGAATTTTACCTGATGAGTATCACATGGGCATGCAAGCGACGGATTGTACGCCCAAGTCCACACCACGTCCTTGTATTTTATTTCATGGTTCGGGGAATTCGAAAGAAGAAGATGAATTGCAGGACACACCTGTACTTATCCCGGACAAACTCGGAGACATACATGGCCACGCTCCCTTTTGCTCCTCGATCAAATATGCTGTACTCAACACATTCGACGTCGGGTGGAGGAACGCTACATTGCAACAGAAGTACTGTAATTATGCGCTCTCGATGAGTAAAACAAGCAACGAAGACACCGGAACAATTGAAGACACGATTATTGTGACGCACTCGATGGGCGGACTCGTGATGGCCGGCGCACTTGCCAATGGAAGATGCAAATTATCATCGACGACATCGTGGGTATCCCTCAGTTCCCCGCTGGCTGGTAGCATGGCATCGGATTATCTCGCGGATGCCTGCGATACTAAAGTCGAAGTTGCTGAGAAGCTATTCAAGATAATTGGCCAGTGTCCGATAATGCCGGGGCACGCGTCAATTTTTCGCCAAGGTGGGAAGCACATGAATCCGTCCTTTGACCGGGACTATACAGCAGCCAAAAAAGCATATCGCCTCAATGTGGATGCTGTAATATGCAGCGACAGTTTTCTGGGTATCTTTTCAAAGTACCAGGAAGCTCTTGGTCTTGCAGGCACCATTATAAATCACAAATCGAAGAAAAACGATGGATTTGTAGAGTTTCAGAGCTGTTTGGGCGGTCTTGACGAAAGCAAATTCGGCAGAAGTTACATGGATACATTCTACAGAGCGGAGTTGAATCACGCCGACACAGCATTCCTGACTGGTGATGGTTTTTTTAAAGACTCTCAAAAGCCGATCAAGTGGTTTGAATGTCTACCGTTATAGGGTAGGATATTGCGTAGTATTTTCCTACTTTTATTGAAACAGGAAAGATTTTTGCTACCGTTATACTTGGTTCATCATATATTTTAGCACTTATGTCAAGTGAAGGGCAAACACTAAATGCTGTGATCGTGCTTTCGCCACATCGAGAAAAGGCGTCTGGGCCATGTAGCAGTACGCTAATGGTGGATAATGTAAGAGCTTAATGCTTTTTGTTGGAAGCAAAAGCAGAATATGTTTAGCATTTACTAACTCATTTGTCAAAACTACAACATGCATTGCAACTTGACCATGTAAGTGTCAGATGGCATCCGTCTTTCCTGCCCATCTCGTACGGTGATCCCACATTGCAACCGTATGCCCTAGTCCCAACTGTCAAGTTGTCACCTCGTCGTCCCAACTGTCAAGGTGTCACACAACCGGCCAAATAAGTGACGCCGTCTCATCGCATTGCAGTTGAACCTAGAAAACCTGACAACCTGTTGAACACGATCCTTTTTTACCGTTAACGCCTCGTTCACTCCTATTAGTGCAAGTTCCAAACATAACTCGGTCATGAAGGTGTTCTAGATATTAGTTAAAAGAAGCATTCAACGATTTTGACGCAATCCCAATAATGAAGAAGCGAAGCAGGCAAATGAAGCAAAGAAACACGTTAAAAACCCACAACGAAACCTACAATGTTGGGAAATCGTACACCAATTACAAATTTGATGCACTTGAGTATTCAATCCGGGGTGTACAAATTGCCAAACGGTACTTTGTCAAACTTTAATGCGATACCAAGTAGTCACCACATCTTTAAACACTGATACGCTGGAATATGTTACTATTTACCACAACTAGTAAGAATTTACACGCAGGCAAGTGGCTTCAATTTCTCAGGAGTCCTGGTCAATGCCGTCGTCGAGCACGTTTTTTCAAGTGCATTCCGAGTTGGAGTAAGATAATGGTACAAGGGAACACGAGGAAACACTTGATAAAGAGTTTGTGCAGATTTTGGATTCTACGATATACCGATAAGCCGAAGACACTAGAGAAACCATGTGCACATACAAAATGTAGTGTGTGAGTCGTTGGAAATCAATGCACATTTTTCTAATTAATTGAAAAGAAACAAGGAATCGGAAGTGACTTCACGGAGTTTCTGCTAGTTTACTGCAACGCTCAAAAAAGTTGCTATTTAAAAGCTTGGCACTATTCTCTACTTGACGTACCGATGTTATCGCCTGACGACCACTTTTCGAACAAATTGCTCTGCCATCCATGTAGTACGATTAGAGGTGGTACCCATGAGTCTGGGTTGGGTAATTGCGTTTACCCACGACTCAAACTCATTCAAATTTCATTACCTACGACTCAGACTCATACCCGCGGGTAATTACCCATGTTACCCGCGCAATAAACATGCGGAATATCAAACAATATGAAAGGGAGAAAAAGCATTATGAAAATCGGTAATAAGAGTATCCACACTCTACGTCTCCCACGGGAAGTTCAAGCGAGCTGACAAAGGAAAAAACTAGCCCCTTGCCGACAAAATAACGTGACCCTGTGTCCTTATCCAATCCTTGAGGCACAGAAGCCTCTCCAAGCTTTTGGGGGAAAGCGAAGTTCTGTTCTACCTGTAAGTCTTTCTACCTTGAGAGAAACCTCTCTTAGACGGAGTTAAAGACGCGAGGATGGCCAGATAAAATCTAGCCATCCTTGCAAGTGTCGGGAATTGCAGCTGATGCAGTGCTCACCACTCCAATGGCAACTAGTGTATGTAAACAGGCGAAAGAGCAAAATAGGTCTTAACTTTTTCCTCGACTTTGCTCACTGCTGTTTGTGGAACTCTGCCTTCAGCAAATGCAAAGACGTCTGGCTCCATGTCGTCATCGCTCATGTCGTTACTAATGTTGACAGGTGGCGGAGGCGGGATTTTTTCTAATGACTATTGATGACTGTATGCTGCATCCACAAAAAGCAACTCAATATGCTTGTGGGCTATGGCCAAGAGCCCAAAATTGCTTTGGCCCTTCGTCGAGGTTTTTGAACCAGCTGATATCCCATTTTGGACCTAACATCGTTGCAAAGAAGTTTGCATTCTGTTTAAATGCCAGCTTGATATATTTTCTCGAGTTTGCTTAGCATGGCCTGCGCCACCGGCTCCAGTTGCTTTGCATCATATGTGCGGTAGACATTCACCAAAAAAGGCGTTATGAGTCACCAATACATTTAACAATTAGAAATTAATACGAGCAGGTGTGTCTGATGTATGGTCCAAAAATTTGGTACTTTTTCCCATGGGTACCCATGGGTAAGTTGGTTAATTGAGGCCAATTACCCATACCCAACCCATGAGTCTGGGTATGGGTAATTACCCACTGAGTCTGAGTCTGGGTACCACCTCTAAGTACGATACCACAACTGTTGTAACAGGGCATCTAGTTACACGTAAACATTAAGTAATATACCTGACGTAAGGTTTAAAAGTATCCATGATTACTTTTGACCTTTCACTTGGGTGCGATACACAAACGTGATCCACCCCCGTGAATGTAATATCCATTGATGGGTACACATGGGAAGAGATGACGCTAGTTGAAGTTAGGCATCGCGACGTCTCAGAGAGACGTCATTCGCAAGCTTAAATCTAGATTTAAGTTCATGCGACAGGATACGCTTCTAAAGAGTCGCGTATCTGATCTATATATATACATATATAGCCAATCAGTAGTTAAGTTTATATATAAATTATAATTCATTAAAAATAGCTCAGTCTTGAATTTTCTTAAACGCTTAAACATACGCACCACGCACGAGAAGCTGAAAAAGCTTCTGCGTGACGTCGGTGACTTCTTGTTAGAAAGTTCGTTGCACTCTCGCTTAAGCAAGAGGCAACTGGTGGTACGACTGCTTAAGCAGTCGACCAACCTCCCAACCACCCTCGCACGCGAAGGTAAGACGGTATAACCGCTTCCTCGCTTGTGCATAAGGTGTGTGCTCGTAGTACGAGGCAACTTCGTAAAAGTGCCCGTCTACACTTGGTAGCACTAGTAGTCCTTCCCACGACCCGTCTCTCTGAGCGTGCGTGTGGTTGACATGGTCCTTAATATGGACTGGAGTGACTTCCCACCTCTCCTAACATCATAGAGAGGTGAAAGAGCATATGGCGCAGGGACGTGGTGAACAAGCCCTGGTCAACCTCTTGCATTTTCCTCCTGAGCAACATGTTGCTCAGTTGGAGCAATTCGAGGCGTTTGTGCTTGAACATCGTTGTAACGGGGCTAGAACGTACCGTCACTAGCTTACACGTGCGCTCGAGGAAGACTCAAGCCCAAGTATTAGGTATTAAGTAAATTTAACACTGATTTTTATTTTTGGTTTTAATTCGTACTAATTACGAAGATTTTAGTCGTAATAAATACGACAGTGTTCCCGCCTTTCGGGAACCCCACAATTTCAGGTTGATTTATCATTGGTCCATATTGGGGACTTTAGGCCCAATAATAAACCAATAATAAGTTACCACGCTGTGCCCGCTATTCGGGCCCAGCACCTGCCTACATATGTAATTGTTTATTTGTGTTAATGCTATATGTGTAATGTAGCCCATTACATCACCCCCTTCTCATGACAGCACTCACCAACCGTGAGTGCTCACCTATCGAAAACCCTTTCGCCCACAAACGAATAAGCAATGTCCGGAGACCCAGAACCCAATCCAGCAGGACGCCCAAGAAACATCAGCGGGAATGCATCAACCAGCATCATGGCGCGGCAGCTCATACCTTGGTCGCTGTACGACTTGTCCGGAGCGCACGCTCCGGACTCATTGGACACGATGCGGGACTACTTCCGCCGATTTCGAAAACTGCGCGGGAAAGGTCTTGATGGAATCGAGCATGAAGCTCTACAACGTTCTTGGTGCGCCTTCATCCAACGTTGGAATCGGATGCTCGAGGATGGTAGCAGCTTCCAGTTATGGCTCGCCAATCGAGAGGAGCTTCGCGCCGATCACTCCATCGGCGCGCTACGCAAAAGAGTGTGTGAGGAAGCTTGGAATGAGGACCGTCTCTGCTTCGTCCATGTCAATAAAGGATGCCAATCTTGTGACTCGACGCCACGCCCAACTCATGACGAATGGCGACGACACATCGCTGAGTGTCCACTCAGTGATCGCGAACGAAGTTGGATTGCGAAGTATGAGCGAAGTCTGAGCGAACGGAGAAGCGCAGTTATTCGTGGTGCGCCTCGCTGGCAGCACCACTCGCGACAGCGAAGTCAATCTCCGCGGGATCATCAGCGCAGGGCAGCGACACGTTCGCTTGCCCGTCCTTGCTTCGCGATTCTCGCCTCGCAATCGTGATATGTATTCACCGCGACGTTCTCGTTCACGGCGTCGTTCTCATTCACGACATCGTTCTCGTTCTGGTCATCGTTCCCGTTCCCGACAACGTGAATCTCCTTACCGCTCTCGTTTGTCACGAGAGCGTTCGCGTGCTCGCCCGCCTTGGAATAGTCCGACTTCGTGGCTTCATACGACAGAGCCACATCTGGAACGTCACGAAGGAGCGAGGAACGTGGTTCCCATGTATCCTGCTCGGGAGGGAATCCAAGCCAACGTACTCGGTACCTACGCATGGATGGAACCGCACGCTTCTCATGAGCCGACTGCAGTAATGGTTGTGGAGGGTCCTCGTGACCCACAATGCGGTCTACAATCCAGCGCACCTGTCCCTCCGCATCAACAAGCGGAGGAGGGCCCTCGCGGTGGTAGATGCTGGCGTCCTGGTTGCTCAGGAAGATGTTGATCAGGCCGTGAATATAGCTGCCGATGCTCGGATGGAGGCTGAGGCTGCCAGTGAACGTGCTGCCCAGGCGGAGAAGACTTCGAGAGAGACCCGGCAGTCGAACCGTGAACTGCTCGAGCGGATAAGGGTTCTGGAGCGCCAGATGCTTGGTCAGGTTCAGACGGGATCGGGACCCCGCCCCATGTCATCGGCGCGTCGAGCACG